CCTTTAAATATGATAAACTCTCAATGCACTATGAAATGCATGGAATATATTTTCACTAATTTAGATTTTTTTGTAAATGATAATTTATTAGTGATGACAATTGTATCACTGCAGCCCTAAAAATTATTACCGTTGAATCCTTAATCCTTTCTTATAAATATGGTATTTTGATTCTCAATAAAATATATAAAATTCTATTGACTTTTATTCTCTCTTCTCTTTTTATAACATCTTATCAACACGAAATTTTAATTCTTCAAAGTTTAGTGAAGACTCGAATGGAAGATCTTAAGTTCGACTGTTAACGACTGCAGTCTTTTATGCAAATTATTTTGGTTTAATATTTTTCACCATTTTGGAACAGAGACATTAAAATCGGTGCAATAGGAAGACAGGAACTCGTGACTTCCTTTGAGATTATAAAAAACTTGATCACTATGGCATTGGTAGATGTTGGTACCATATGTAACAAAAATATATATGTCCATTTTTTTATCAAATAATATATATACTCTTTTTTTTTTTAATTTTTTAAACTAAACTTTGACCTTACGATGACCCAGCAGTTAAGCCACTGATCCACCGGTTGAACCACTGATTTAATGACACGATAATTGTTCGGGTCAATGATCGGATATGATAATTATATTTTGAAGGGTGAAAGAATAACGAAAAAGAAAATTAAATTGGTAGTTGACATTTATAGAAATTCAAAAATGTATTTGTTTTAATATTGTTATTGAGTTCTATTTAAACGGCAAAAAAATAAAAAATAAAAAAAATTAGCAAAAGGTATAAGCATTGACGCAATTTTTTGTTCACACATTCAATGACAAAATCTTTGTCATATTTAAAATTATGAAATGGTCTTTTTTTTGTTAGATTGATATTATAAGTAAATCAAACATTGAAAGCAAGTAATTCGACCCATTTTTATTATTAGACAAGTAGATAACGTACATTCACATTTATAATTCAAACTACAGTATAATAATTTCAATTCATGATATTGATTATTATTGTGGTCGTTGATAGCCAACGGCTGTCCATACTCACTCAAGATCCGAATCTGCCACTACAGACAGATATAATGTGTATGGTTGAGAAACATAACCCATCATATCCAAACATTATGCGTATTAATTTCAACAAAAGATAGTCTAACAATTTTACATGAAGATATCTAACAATTTTGCATTAAGATAATGCAGCTTGTATTACACAATTCAAAGGAAATTGTATCAAATATGACATGACAAAACATATTTTTTCAAAATTACTTCATACACATGACTTTCATAAAAAATGCGACATTGATGTTCAACAAATTCGCTCAAATGACAATATGACTGTTTTATTCACAAAAGCACTGTCAATATCTACATTCAAGAAATTGGTTCAGGAAATTAGAATATATCGACTCAAAGATTTTCAGTGATCAATATCAGGAGGAGGAGTAACTTTACTCTTTTTCCTTCGTTTATATTTTATTCCACTGGGTTTTCTTAGCAATGTTTTTAGTTAGACATTATTTATTTTTAATACTTCAAAATAACAGTACTATTTTTCCTTCATTTAATATTTTTGTCCCATTAAATTTTTATCAAATAAGGTTAATTTTAATTAGATATATTTTGTAATGTGTCATTCAATGAGGAGTATTGTAAATGGTAAGTTTATTAATGAATGACAATTTTACCCCTACAGCATTAGAAATTATTATCATTGTATCTCTAACCCTTTCCTGTAAATATGATTCTTTGATTCTTAATAAAATACACACAAATCAATTGACTTTAATTCTTTCCTCTCTTTTTATAACAAATTAGACTTTTTAGCTGAATTATTTTATTGAACAAATTGGCTGCATTGATGGCCTCTCAAAAATTCTGAAATCGTTTTTCATTACTCGAATTCCCTCTTTCGAAATATATCTTTCAATGCCAATGCTTGCTATTATTTAAGAAGTGATATTAAATGAAATAAATCAATTCTGATTTTTGATTATATTACTATTTAGTCAATTTACAAAATATAGATTTCAACTTAAAATATTGTCATTGTTTGGCTCAGCTAAAATATTTTATTAAAATCTAAGTTAAAGTCAACAATATATTTTAATCATACATTTCTCGAGATCTACATTTTTTTAACAATATCTATCAAATTTTATCAAAATCCACTAAAAAGTTAATTTTTATCTAAACCAAATAGGGGCATTATGATATGACAATTTTACTCAGATTTTAGTTGACATTAGAATTAATTAGATTCTATTTAGTTTGAAGTTGTTTTTGCTAGGTTTTTAATGTAACTGGCAAGTCTGTGAACAAAAATGACTAGATTTAATATGATGTAAAAGTCAAGGGTAAGTTACATATATTATAAGTTAAGTTGTATTAAGTCTAAGGTTTGAGGATAGAAAGAAGGAAAAAACGGCACCGCAATTTTGTTAGACAGTCGCATTGACTTCGCTCGAGCGGCAGAAACAAAAACCTTGTCGCTCTTGTGTCACATTGTCACTCGCCTGTCGCTAAGTTCTCACTTGAGCAATAGTGCCATCCGAAAAGTTTTAATTCGCATTTTAAAGACTTTTTATCTGGTTCATTCAATCCTAAACCTATAATATACGCCTTTGAACAGTTTTTTCTGAAGGTTAAACGTTGACATATCACATGCAGCTTCATATCTACTTTATCAAATTCATCAATAGCTTTCAGCCTTCGTTGTTCGATTTGTTCTTGATTGTGAAAATACCAAATCCACTTAATCCAAATATCAAACTGCTTACTTCCCAATACATCTATCAGAGTTCTAAAAATCAAGGGAAGGTGACTGGAGTTCCAGTTGTTGTTGGAGAATACGGAGTTCTTCGTTGATCCATATGAGATAGACAATTTCAGAAAGTCGGGAGTTGGTGCGGAGCACGCAATCTAGAAAGGCTTTGAAAATTGTAGCTAAGGGTTGGTGTAGGGGCACGTAATTCAGGAGGGCTGTGGGATTTGCAGTCAAGAGATCAAAAAGTACCAATGGTAGTTGTGCCTGACAGATTGTAAGTTTAAATTCGTTAATAATGGATTTTTTATTGGCAAAGTGCCCGGAGTTTTTACCCAATGGGGGTTTCTCCATGATCATTCTATATGTTATTTATTGTTTTCATATATTTGCGGCAGTTCAACATAGGGAAATTGAATTAATTGATTAATCATCTAGAGATAATTAAAAGTAACTTATTGCTATTTAATTATTAGTATTTTAATTTCTCACATATTCCCCCTCTCTAGACGTAATTTGAGTCGAACCTCGTAATTTCAGCTTTATTAGAATCAAGTATAATAATTTCGTTATGTACAGTCTTAATGTGATTATCAAATTTTAGAATGGCCAACTATTGTAATAGTATTAACCGAGCATACAAAGAAAATATGCATAAACCCGAAAAGTATAATTATTTGTGACCTCATCCGCCGAGTTAAAATCTCGTATATTTTGTTACGCTTCCCTTATCACATAGCAGCTGAGTCGAGAAACTTTTGGAGCCTGATAATATGTCGAATAATGTTACGTGATATAATCAGTTTACAGGATTCGTTTTGTGAGATCATGTAGTCTTGATTTCTTTTAGGAGCAAATGCTTATCATGTTGGACAAACCATTTCGTGTTACATGTATATAGTCTAATTGGCTCCTGCTTCTTTTGTAAATTATTGGTATAACGGATATTAAAGATTGAGTTGCCTACACTTTATTTTGAGTAATATATGTTTAGAGGGGGTAGTCCACAATTTATACATATATATGGAAAATTTGTTGTTTTTTAGATTGGTTTACTCTATATTACTTGAGAAACTCTGCCAATTTATTTTTGAAATTCATTATAGTAAAAGCAGGTTAAAGTTAGTTTTGGTGATCGATTCGATACCAATTTGGCATTCGTTAGCGTACGTCATATTATGAATCCATTAGGATAATTCGGGACGGAATGTATCACTGAACCATCTAGACTGGTGATGGTCTTTACTGTTTATAGGTATAATTTATTCCAATGAAATAAAATAAAAAAAATTCTAAAATGTGCGAGGTATGACAATGCGACAAGATCAAGCCTCAAACATTATAATTTTATGCGTACCTAGACTAGACAAAGCCTTTATTTATAATATTATCGTAATTATTCAAAGACTGTTGATACTAATTTTAGTAAAAATTCTTGGTTTACGTGTAAAATTATTTGATAGGAGAATGTGTGGTCGAAAATGAGTTTTGAAAATATATGAAAAAAATGGAGCCAAACATAGGATTTTGCTACAAGAAGTCTGATTAAATTTGAGAAGGGAGTAAATTACATGTGTGGTCAGTGAACGTTTAGCAAAATCCCAATTGGATTTCTAAATCATATTTTAGTTTTAGTTAGGTAACTAACCTTCAATTTAGTTTCATATGTCACAACTCTATCACATTATGCCTCTAAATTATGAATTTTGTTTAGTTGACAGTCGTACCGCAGCAGATACTGCAAGTAATCATCGCGTGACGTTACAAATTTCTACTACACAACGTCGTAAAAGTGTTAAAATAATAAAGAACACATCTTTTCACCTTTTAATCTAAAAACATTGCCCGAAATTGCATTTTATCATTTTCGTTTCTAGAGTGCCACGTAGCAACCCAGAAGATCAATTAAAATATAACCGCAACTAAGAAACAGTTTTGAGGACTATTGATGATGCAATATGACAATAGTGTTAAAATCTCAATTCATTGATCCAATTGAGATTCGTTGAAAGTACAACGATCCTGAATGAAATTTACCCTTGCTTAAAATAAGTAGAATTCAATATATTGGGATAAAAGTGATTTCAAATATAGTTACATTATTCCAAGAGGAGACTCCATTTGACTCCAAGTATTCTACCACAACTAACTAAAGGTTAAAAAAGAAAGACCCCAAGAAAGTATAAATACCGTTTTTCATATATTACACATCTGGTCAGTAAAACCTATATGTGTTGCATCCAATTGATACACAAAGCAAAAGCAATGGTGAAGTATAATGTCTTGCATTGTTTTATAACCTCAGCAGAAATTAGGGATCCTCCTGAAACAACTGAATCTTCATTTTCCTTGCAATCTCTTCCCAAATTTAGGGTATCCATAATCTTCACAGTCTTGATAGAGCAATACTCCTCTATTCTCTCCGAGTTGTTTTCATCTGTAGACTCTCTGTGTTCCACGAAATATATCCAATAAGTATGCAAAAGTGCCACCATACTGATAAATGTGCTAACTGATCTCCATTGTACCATGGCTGTGAATATAGTTCTGGAAAATACTGCAATCTTGTTAGATAAACTTCTAGTCTTAGGTATTGTTCTTGAATAAGATTTTGCTACTGGAGATTCATGCATTGTCTTGGGGTTTTGATGGACACTAACTGTCATTGAAGGAATTACTTGGTGATAAAATGTCTTAGGGGCTTGTCGCGTTGAAACTAGCAATCCATGGTTGATTTCAACTTTTTCAAAAACCTCGAAGCTTGGACTGCTCGAGAAGTGATCAATGTCTCCATCAATTAAGAAGTTTTCACTTGCATTGTCATTTACAAGTCCAACTAAAATATCGTTATCCACTGTATCATCCCACGTATTGAAGTTGGGGTTACCAGCTTCTCCTGGAATATGCATTTCAATTCATAAACAAAACTACCGAACCGAAACGAGACAACTAAATGAAGTAGTATCATACTGTTTATTTAAAGATGGAAGAAACTGAAGTGACTAACCTTGAAAATCATGGTCCTCATTATGAAAGTTGGAATTATTTTCTATTGAAACCATCTTGTATTCCTCAGAAAAGTTCATCTGACAAGGATAAGGAGTTCTACAAAAGTAAACATGCTGAACTTGAACAAGAATTTAGTAGCATATATGTTAGGTTAATTACCTTTTCAAGTTCTTTATTTGACATCCCTAACCATCTCAAGTTCTCAACCATTCCCCCAGATTGGACTACTTCATCCTTCTCTCCAATTTCAATGGACCTATGGTCTGGTTCTTCTCTTAAGTTGTCAGTATATTTGAGGGAACACATATCCTGTACTTGATTAGAATGGGGCGGAAAGAAAAACTCATCAGCTTCAGCATAAATTCCATCCAATGTTGTGTTTGGATTTTGAAAATCCTGAGAAACTTGAGCAATAGATAAAATTTCCTCCAAAATATTAGGGTGATTTCTATTTTCTTGGAAAGCAATTGAATGTGATGTACTGGTATCAGCAGCAAAGTTAGACTGTGGAAAGTCGACGACTTGTAGTGGAGGCAATGAAAATCTCTGTTGCAACCTTGCACACTCTAATTCTGTATCAACCTGGAAAAAGTGAAACTAATAGTTGAGAACTGTAATCCGAAAAATATAAATATAGATCAAAGATGCACGTGTCTCAATTGAATCATATCATCCAAAAGTTTATTGTTAGATAGGGGACAACTTTATTTAACTTAAATTTTATATTTTGGACACATCCCTTATGGCAAGATTTTATTTTTTCCTCCCTTTTTCACCAAAGGCTTGAATTGGGATCTTTCTCGACATAGAAGCACAAAACTCTCAGTCCTGTTCTCTTCAGATATGCAATTATTCATTCATAAGGTAGAAAATTTTACCTTGGATTGTGGATATGACATTGGTGCACAGTTAGAATACTGATTACTAAAACTAAGTTCCTCTTCTGATAGATATTGCATCAATCTGCCGTCACTTGGGCCAACTGGATCCATTTGAGAGCCCTGGATTGCACTGGATGAACTTGTAACTAATGGCGATGCATAGTCAGAGCTATCAAAATCGTTCCATTTTCCTTCAGAATATATGTCAATGCTAGAAGACCGATCACTAGCTGGTGTTGTGACATAATGGTCGCCAGTTTTGGGGGCATTCAAACTCTTCTTGAATATACGGCATAGGGCGTAAGCATCCTGGAATTTTAACCCAAAAAAGAATTGAATAATACCCTTTAATATTTGAAGGAATTAATGTACTTTGCTATTCCTACCCAATTCCAGAACTTTTTGCTCCAGGAGTGGAGTGTGCATAAGTGTCAATCATGTATTGCATAATGTATCAAGATACACAATCTAACAATCTAAATCAGTCGAGATCAATAGTCTCAACTCTCAAGACTCATATAAAATTTCACCATATAATTAAGACGTTTATGATTTTGAAGGACCTAAACAACGACACATTGCGACAAAGGTATCATATCAACAGAATTTCCATCAAAAGTTCTGTCACTAATAGTTGCAGTTGCAGTCACTGCTAGAACTAGAAGCTATCAAGAATCTAACAATGGAATAAATGCGGGGGAAACTGGAAACGGAAATAAAAAAAAGGACTATACCTGCAAGCCTGAATTAGTTTCACATTCTCTTTCGTCTAAGCGGTATTCATGCATAACCCAATTGGTTCGAGCTCCATGTGGTGCTCTCCCTCTATAGTAAACCAGGGTTTTCTTCATTCCAACAGCCCTCGTCTGTGAATTCACGTTTCTATCCTTCCCGGTGGCCTTCCAGTACCCTGCCTTTGTAGCCCGGTTTGTCCTTGAACCATTTGGATATTTACGATCTCGAGGGCTAAAGAAGTACCATTCCAAATCTTTGCTTGGCAATAAAGATTTTCCTGTTCAATTTAAATTCTTCCATCATTTACCAGTTGATAAAATAGTGACTGCAGTAGTCAAATCAAGTCATGAAGAAATTAAAAATAGTGAATCAAAATGAATTTCACTTGAAGATTTTCAATTTAGAATTATACTAGAGCTATCAAAAAAATTAAGGGAAAGGTGGGATTCACATATTGGGAAGGAAGACAATGCAATTATATTCTTTTCTTTGCTTTTAGACTAATTGTATATATGCTACATAAGTACACACCTTTGTAATAATATTTATGAAATGAAAAGATGTAGGCCCATTAATCAATTTCCCTTTTCACAAGCAATGTAATATAAGAAGAAATTATTGCATCCATAAAGCCAAGTTATTAATTTTTATTATTGTTATTTTATTTTTATACTGATAAAGAATTTGTACACAAACCTTGTTTTCTCCTTATCTCTTCATATTTCCAACTTGTTATGTGGTCATTCTCTGATATGTGCAAATAATAAGATTAAAAGGATGGGTAATTAGCATGTACCTGGCAGGTCCCATGGCTCACACTTGTAGAGATCAACTTCAGGAATGATTTCGAGTTCAATCTTGCGGCCATTAATTTTTCTCTTCAGATAATAAGCGACGAGTTCTTCGTCTGTTGGGTGAAAACGGAAGCCGGGAGGCAATGAAACAGGTGCCATGATCTCCTTTAGAATTTCTTGATAATATAGAAAAGAAACCTTGTAGAAATGAATTCAATTAACCAGCAAGCTAGCCCCAATCAAAAAACTGTGTAGACCAGCCTTCTTTGAAGTCAAAAAATATACAACTGCAAATATACAGAAACCCTAAAAACAGATTAGTTAGATTAATAAATGATTAGCACCGAACAATCTCGGTAATAAGATCAAGTGAATGATCATGTTTGTTTGTGTGTGTGTGTGTGTGCGCGCGCGCGCGCGCGTGTGTGTGTGTGTGAGAGAGAGAGAGAGAGAGAGAGAGTGTGTGTGTGTGTGAGTTGTCATTCCACGTGTAAATGGGCTGAGAGATGGTGGGCCTAGGTCTCCACTTCAACAACACCAGCCTGGACCTTAATTAGAAGATTCAAAGGATTGAAAGAGGGATGGAAATCAAGGAGAGAATGAAGGAGAAGAATGGCAAGTTTGGGTGAGAAATGGGAGCCTTCTTGAGGTTTTTGATAAGAGAACAAAAAGTTGAGAAAAAGTGCCACCGCCTCCTACCACTTTATCTTTAAATTAGTTTATTTTTTCACATCGGATGACCTTAAGAATCTTTCTTCACAAGNTTTATTAAGAGGAGTAACGCAATCCTTTATAAATTGATCTATATTTTCATCTTTATTCGATGTGGGATTATATCCATTAACACTTCACAAGCAACCCCTTCTCTCTAGAGTTTTCATGCATGCATGTACATACACATATGACAAACATATAGATATAGAAATTCTGTCTCTATCTCTCTCTCCAATGATCCCATACTTCATACTTGTCTTTTCTTGGAATCTGAGCTTGACGTGTATTAGTATGTGTCATTGATGCATTACCCGAAGGGATATTTGCTCCCAAAGGAAATAGAGTAGAGAGAGAAACGAATTCTTAACTGCAAACTTGCAAAGCGATATTTGCTCCCAAAGGAAATAGTGTAGAGAGAGAAACGAATTCTTAACTGCAAACTGCAAAGAATGTTCTTTTCACATGCCAATAGCCTTCTTCCAAATAATCGCCCAACAAAATATTGCCAAAGAAATTTATGAACAATAGTTAATTACTACCTATTTATTCATATATTTGTTAACATAGATGAAACAAAGATAAAGAATCAAACGTATATCAAGAGCATTTGTGTAGAGTTTTGGCTTGTATAGTGAATGTGGTTTACGGATTGGAAATATAGAATATTGTATTTCTAAGATAGATGTACATCCGGTGATAGCATAGAAAGCTTCTAGTTGTCACATTGTCTCTACAAAATAGAAAAAAGCGTCGAAGTACAATTTCACAACATGATTATCCTATTGGCTATCATTGCATTTTTATTAAAGCCCCGTTTGGTGGGGATTAAAATCAATTTTTTAGCAGCTTTTGATAAAAGTTGATGAAATATGTGGTTGAAGAATTGTGGGTCCCATAAAATGTGTGGTTAAAATTAATTGTTGACTTTAACTTGGATTAAAATTTTAATTTTAATTTCTGGCAAACATGGACTAAACGTAACCAGTTTGATTGTTAAATGAACCCTAAATATAATGACTATATTGTCATCAGAAATGTGTCACGGTAGATACTAAAACGCCCATGTCACTTTCCTTGTTTGCTCATCTTAAAATAATTTAGGTAATTTAATCTGTTTGGATGGTTATTGAGTAGAAATAATAATTATGTGGCTAATAAGCATTACAATAATAATTAAGACAGTCATCTTAATTTCTCAAAAATATTTTTTAAAACAATCACTTTTAAAAATTTTAAGATATTTACTCTTTTGCCAGAGTTGTGAAAAAATAATTTTGTCACGATGGAGGATTGAAAATATTTTGTCATCAATAAATCTTTCTTTGACCAGAGGCGGTTGAAACAATTCAAGGATACTAGACAAAATGTTTTGGGGACCTTTTCAAAAAAATTATAAAAATGCATGGTTGAAAATGAGTTATGAAATAAAGTATTTTTAGGGAATGTGCGTCAAACAGGGGCTAAATGGAACAAATCATTACCAAAAAAAATTGTGCCACTGGTCACTGATAGTTTTTTAAGGGATAAAACTACCTTGCCTGAAAGATTTGACAGAAAGACATAATTACATGTGTCAATAGATGATTAGATAAAAAAAAAATTGACTGTATTCTAAACGGTTAAGTGACAGAATGTCACGTGATATTATATTAACGTTTATGCCAATCTTGATGTTTTATATTAACGTGACATATATATTGCGTCAATAAATTAGATATCATTTTTTTTTTAATACCAGAAAAATCATTTCTCAAACTGTTATTTCAATACCAACAATTTTTTTCTGTCATTAAATATTTTTATTACTTTATAAATAGGACAAAATTTATGTTGATAAATCAAATTTTTAAAAAATAAGTTTTTTAATTGTTTTAAGACCTTATTCTTTCGATGTCGATCAGTGAGAGTAACGAAGTTGGTCCAGTGTTAGTAAAAGCAAGCTATCGCATGGGTAATAGAGGGAAAATCTAACTCAAAAATTGCAATGATAAAACTATTTGGAAATAAATTTTCAAGATTTTTGACCATTTCCTAAGACATATTGTTTGTGTAAAATTTAAGCTGACTATTTCTTGGGTTAATTTCATTTGCGGTAATATATTTTTTCTCTAAGGTTGTGTTTGATAGGTTGCTTTTTCTCTGGAAAATGGAAAAAGTTTTCCAATTCCACTTTTTTGTTGTGTTTGATAGGTTGTTTTTTCTCTAGAATTGGTTTTCACTTTTACCCACTCATGCGTCCATTTTCCATGCGTGAAAAGAATTTGTTTTCCTTTAGTTTGGTTGGTTTTTCATTTTCCAGTTCTTTTTTTTTTT